CTCATTCACCAGAAGGGGACTGAGCTTCTAAAACACTGGGAAACAGTGATATAAAAATCAGCCAACCTAGTTTTTTAGCACAATAACAAGAGTCCAGAATAAACAAGGACCCAATTCAACTCCTACTCACTTCAATGGGAGTTAAACTGGGCCCTAGGACACACATTAGGTTTGGCACTGAGCAGCCCAGCTCATGCAGCTTTGGCATACAGCTCTGTGTTGCTAACTAGAAGACTGACTTGGGAACAAAATTCTGATCAGAAGCCCACGCCCAGTGCTGGTTAAACACACCGCAAAGACAACGCTTTGTGTTCTAGACTCCATGCTGTCTACTACTCCTTGATGCAGTTTTATGTCAGATGTGGAAATAAGCATTCACCTCTCAGGCAGAATTAATGCATTCAAAATGGAGCATATGCTTTAAGGACAAAACCCCCCAAAAACTGAACAAAAGAATTGCTGGTTTCTAGACTGAATTAAGAAACCTAAGCCCAGACTGAGCGTAAGTGCAGATATAAGTGTTAGAAGACAACTGACAGCAACAGAAAACAAGAAGTTCATAATCACTATGTATGCAAAATAATAAACATTAATATTTCCATTAAGGTTTAACATGAATAAATTATGTGATCTATACTTTGATAACAGGACAGTAAATCAGGATAAAATTATCTAAAAAAAAATTATTGGCCTCCTCTGTTCATGCTGCAGAAATTCACTTCTTAATTTCTACTCTCTCTTTTTTTTTTTTTTTTTTTTTTTTTTTTTTTTTTTTTTTTTTTTTTTTTAAATGTATGAACCATTCATGATGTCTCACAATGTAATGGAACTATTGAGTAGATTCAATCTTTGGCAGTGGCTGTGTACACAAACTTCGTTTAGAACTAAAACACATTTGGTAATACAGTGTAACCTCATAAATCTGGAATTATCAAAAATCCGGCACTTCCCCCCACCACTCCAGGACTGGCCGCCATTCCCCTCTGCCCTCCTGGACGCAGAGGGGGAAGCTTGCATGCGGTGGCTGCCGCCTCCATTCACCACCCTGTGCCACTGCTCTGCATTCAGTTGCTGCTCCAGGACCAGGAGCCGCTATTCGCCCCCTGCCCTACTCCATGACCGGCTGCCATGCCAGTTTAAAAAAATACAGCATTTTCGAATTTTCAGCAGGTGCTTGGAAATTAGTTTATACGCACAGATAGCTGACTGGTAAGTTTTTCTTGCCTTTGGCTTTTGTGTCTGGACACAATAAAATATTAAAGTGTTAATGACTCTAAAGAGAAATAAAAGCAGGCAGATTAAGGCCCAATGTCCAGTGAAGAGTAAGATAATTAACAAACCTGCCCAAACTGACATTTAAATCAGACAGTTTAGGATCTGCAAAGACATGTTCATTCTAGTCTAGACTTCTAATCCATCAATGGGAAAAAGTCTAATATTATTTTTGTCCTTTTCATCAGCACTGTAAGAATATATCCAACTGTCAGAGTAAGTTATACATGTAACACAAAATAAAAACAAAGAACACTTCAGTGGGCTTGTTCAAGGGGGTCATTTGAGAAAAAAAAATCTGTAGCAGACAACACTGAACCCTTAATCTTTTTTTAATCAGACACAAGTTAAATAGCTCTGTCTATCCAACACATCTGTATATAGACAATGCTTCAAGATCATTGTAAACATACTGGAGAAATTCTCCACCTCAACCAATAGACATTTAAAATGTAATTAAAAATGTTAACTTGAATACTGTTAAATATATTTGAAAGTCTTCAGTATGCACACTGACCAAGCCCTCAACTTTGAAAACACTGCACGATTTTAAAGAGACACTACATGCTTGAAACTACAGTAGAGCTACTTCTTTTGTCAATCTGCATTTTAAATTTAATAAACAGAATAAATTAACTATGAGCTGAGATTATGAATAACTCATTGTCCTGCTAGAGGCCTACATCACATACTATATTTATATTCATCTGTACAGGAGAAGGACAAGCACAGACTTGTTTGTGATCCACAAGTCCAGCATTTTAGTAGCTGCTATATATTGCTACCCTATTTTCATTGACAATACATTTTGCAGACTAGAAACACTTTTTATAAACTAAAAATGTCCATCCACAAAACCATGTGGGGGAAGGGGGGAAAATATCAGTTAAGACAATACTGATGAATACTAATCTAAAAATGTACGTATTTTGAGAGGGAAGCCAGGAATTAACATATACCAAACCTCCAAAACATATTTAGGAGAAAACAATCTCAACAGCTTTTAAGTCAGTTATGTATAAACACAGAATATTGTCTATTTGACATTTTCTCAAGAATCACTTATAGTATATTTATGGCCAATACACTGCACCTTCCATACATACTACTAATTCTTGAGTTGGAAGCAGGGACTGAATACATTGTCCAGTGTTCCCTGCAAGTACAGTATGTATGATTTCTCTTGGACAGCTTTCTTACCCTTTCTGGTTAATGAGGGTAATTATATTTGCACTAAAACACCAGCCAATATTATGGAATTAGACATTCATATGAATACTGTTTACCAACAATACAGCAATAGAGAAACACACAGAATTTCTAAAAGGTAGGTCAACAAACACTAAAAATATTTTAAAATACTGAAGTACAATTGCATTGTAAAATAAGTTGTTTTATTATTATCTATACTATAACGTGCAAGGAACTGATACTATCTGGAATTGCAACACAAGTTTCAGACCTGTCCAGAAAGCCATTTCAGACCTGTCCAGGATAGTTAAGTAGTAAAGGTCATGTGGCTATGAAGGATGGCTAATCAACTATCCACAAATTCTACCTGTTATACTGGAAGATGAGACAACTACACTGTCAGAGGTTTCAGCAGTACTATTTCACATACTTTGCACTTGTCTAGGAATTAATTTTTGGTAAAACTATTAAAAGTTATTTTGTATTGAAAAGGAAGGAAGGTTATTTATTCAAAATCCTCTCATTAGCTAAACCAAAGTATCTTTGAATATAATCATGTAATCCCCAAGTGTCTTTTTTTTAAGGCATGTTCTTATTAAAGGAGAGATTTTTACTTAGTAGCCATTTTGTCTTCAACTTGGACATGATACCCAATCTGAATGCAATATAAACATGCTGTCTGAGAAGCTGGTTTCCAAATATCATGTTGCTGGGAAAGCAAGAAAATGTAAAAATGTGTACCACCTAACCTATTATAAACCAAAACACCATGAAGATAACAAACTACACAGCCAGGAAATTCAATAGCTAATATTCCCTCCCTAAGTCACCTCATTGCGCACAAAAACACAAAACAAAAGGCACTGTTTGTGGATTAAGGACAGAGAATTGTGATTTACTGCTTAATGTTTTTTAAAATGAAAAAGCTAGGAAATTAAAAGTTGCACTTCATAATACTCCTCTCCCTTAACAGTGTGTGTAATGTATTTTGGTTTTCTTTTTAATTCCACATTAACTCTGCATACCATAAACGCTAACCATAGTACAAAGCAGTATAAACACCAGGTCAATCCATTGTTTATTAGATATCCATAATATGGGTAATGTGGGAGGAAAGGATACACAATTGCCAATTTTCAAAGCATTAAATTAGGTCTAAACAATGCTTTTACACACACCAAAAGCCACAAATTTATTGCAGGTGCCAGGCCTTCACAGTATTTCTTTTTCAAGAATAAAGTAATTTTTTATTTGCAGGACAAACTAAACTCAACTAACCTCCCCCTCATGCCCACCTCCTTAAAACAAGCATACAAGTTCAGCAGAATGTGGATTTATTATGGGATTGTTTTCTTTAAAAATATGCAATGAAACTAGACTGTTACAAAGAAACTCGCATATCACCATACCAAGCAACAGCCCAATCACATGTCAATTGCTAGACTGCAAACCCATGGAAATAGAGGTGTATAATAGGATCATTATAAATGTAGCACTTACTATATATACACATACTATAGATTTTCCTTGTTGTATTATTACTTTGTATTAGTGGGCATGGGTCTAATACAGATAGCAAAAATGGGCTTTATAAGCATAAAACTATACAATACATTCAATTATTAAAAATAGCTTAAGCAAGCAAGATGATATCATTTTAAACACAGATGCACCATAATTATCATCTTCGGATACAAATTAATATACAACACATAACATGGCCAAACCCTCGAACACATCCCACTGTATATTATTCCTGGGGGGAAAAAAAATGCTGCTACCCTCTGAATAAAGGAAGAAAAAAGACACACACCTGTGCAAGTGTGTGGATAAACACACATGCACACGCACACACACACACACTTACACTTGTATGTGGCACTGCATTTCTAACAAGAATATTCTGCACAGGAAATGTAGAGGCACCTTTCAAGGATGATTTCTCATCCTGAATAAACACTGCAAAAAAACCCAAAACAACAAAACCCATCTAGGGAAGGTAACTGCTCTCAGAGCAGAGCAGGTTTTGCCTTGCATATTAAATAAGGTTATGTATGATGGGCTGCTTGGTCTCGATTCACAACAGGGCTGGGGGGAGGGGGGGGTCGTGTGCGCGGTGGTGCAGGGTGTGTGTGTGTGTGTGTCTGCCTGCCTGCAAAGCCAAGTAAACACATTTTCCATTCCCCATCCCCCACCCCGACACACGCGCGCGCGCGCGCGCACGCACACACACACACACACGCACCATCATGCAACTTATCTCCCCATGTTTTTCCTTTTAAATGCACCGAATGCTCGGGATCCCCATAGGTTTTTCAACCACTTGTTTTTCTGCAGCTCCGCGAGCCGCTTGCACACGGATTGTGGCCCGGCGGTGCCAGGCGTGCACATGAAATCATACAGCCCTCCTCCCCCCCAAGCCCCAAACAGCACGAAGTAAACAGGCAGCAGGCTGCGGACAGGCACACGCGGCGCAGGCAGGAGGCAGGCGGCAGGCAGGGATCGGGGCCGCGGCCGGCGATGGAGGCTGCTCTTACCAGATGGAGTTCTTGATTTTGTGTTGCAGGGCGCTGGCCTCTGCCCCCTGCAGCCCGGGCACCAGGGCTGGCAGTGCCCCCCCGGGGCCGGGCAGCGGCTGCGGCGGCGGCGGCTCTGCTTGCTGCTCCTCTGCCATAGTCGCTGGAGGGGCGCGGGGCGCGGGCGCAGCGCTGGAGACACTAGGCCTTTC